GGTTATTACTGAGCACAGTAGGGGGTTGATCCCAAGATGGTTTTGTAGTAAACTGACTGGTCCAGATTATGCGATCTCCTTTAGTAGTAACGAAGGCCCTGCAGGGAAAGGTACCGGGAAAGAGAGGTCAGTTGGCCACACTGCAGTGACGAGCTGATACAAAGTCATCCGGCGCGGATCGGTGAGTTAGAGTGTGGCTCAGCCTGCCTGTCAGAATGGGATGTGCATTCCTGCCCCCAGACTGCCAGGAGGCCTGTGTGGGAAGATGGAGGTGGATGGCTGTAGAGACAGTTTTGCCTCAGTAGTAATTTTTTTCTGCTGGAATGCGGCTTTCCCTGGAGGCTCAGCTGTGCCCCTATCTGGGTCTGTCTCACTGGCGCTCAGCTCCTCTGTCTTACCGCTTAAGTTCTCCTCCGGCTGTCTCGTCCTTGTCGGTCTCTTCGATGTTCACGGAATGAGCACGAGGAGCAAAGACATTAATGGAGATTCGAAAGCCATGTCGGTCACTGATAAGTGCAAACGATTACAGTTATTTTTACAGTTAGTCTCCAGCGCAGGAGGAAATCGTGTAGAACTGGGTGAATTAGAACTGTATGAGTCCCCTGCTGTCATCCCATGCCCTTGTTTTACTGAGCAAGAACATTCCCCTGTGCAGTGGGCTTTGTTGTTTTTTTTAAATAAGCTTTAATTAAGTGCAAGATCTCAACAATATGTCTCATGGTTGGTTATATTGTGCAGTACAGTATATTAATAACCACAGGTATAAAGGCTTGATACAGCACCTGCATATAATCAACGCTGCTTTCCATCAACGATTAATATGTTCCAGACGTACCTGTGGATAGTGGGGGTCCTTGAGGCAGAAACGTCCGAGCTCGGACACAATGGGGAGCGCCTGCCCCAAGCTCGTAGGGGGCAGTGGTCAACATTAACAGCCTTGAAATAAAAGAGCTCTTTGCAGAATTCGCATTTTTAATGATTTCCATGGAAGTAGTGCCTTATTTCATTTATACTGAGTTCTTAGCCTTTTAGTTTTTTCATTGCTTAAGCTCATCCGTGTCTGTGCGGATTGGTCACCTGTAAAGCTGTCCTGAACGAGCCCTTCCTGTCACCCTTCTCCTCCAGCGTGTTCGTCCTTTCAGGTTTGACCTAAGCTGCCCTGTCCTTGCGCAGCGGGGGAGTTTTTAAGGTCTCCTTTTATCCCCTGGGAGGGCTAGAGAGTTGCTGCGAGGTGTTAATTACAGAACGGGGCAACAGATCTGCCGGACTCGCTCTCAGGAGAGCCTGGTTTTCCACAGCTCGTCAGCTCAGGGCCGCGGGGACAAATCTCCAGTGCCTCTTTACCACGAGAACCTTAACAAAAGTCTCTCTCGACTGAAAGACGTGTGGGTTGAAAGCTGTACTTTCCTCTTCTGGCACAGCGGCATCAGAATTGAAAAGCACACCACATTTAAGTGTCTCGGCTGTATTCTACCTTGTCTCTTCCATATAAGAGGGCTATGTAAATGATGCCTACTGTACATGCCAGGTCTTAGCTATTGTTTCTTGGCCTTTTATCATACTCATTTAGCTGTTTTAACTGCTCTTTGAACATTGTCTGGATTTGACAGCTAAATTGACATCTGGTGCCTGCAGCCTTAAAAGCAAAGCATGGCTTTATTGTTCAGGAGGTGCTATTGTAGACATTTTCTCTCTTTCACCTTTACTGTTCCACGCAAGCTGGAAACGCCTGACGGGTACACTGCACTGCCAGCGGCCACTGCGTGCAGTAGGTGTTAAAATACCTTTTGTCCTAAGAAAGAAGTTTTGAAGGGCAATGAAGCTAAGCACCGGTTAAGTTTGAAGATGGGCAGATTGTACGCAGGCTCCTGGACAGCAGGACGCCAGAAGGAGGTTCAGAAAAGTGAAGGTGTGGGCATATCACATGGGGCAATTGGCATTTTAAATAAACACTATAACAAAGCCGTGGCTCAGCTTTCTAAATCACATTGCAGATCTATTCACAGTGTGTATTAGATTAAGTTGGTATGAAACTTTTTTTTTTCAAGCCTCATTGGAGATCTGAATCTGATTAAGCGCCCACACAGCGCTGCCACCCAACCCCCTTCTCCCGGCAGGATGTCGAGACTTCAGATTGCCTCTCATCACAAGACTGTGCTCTGCTCCTTCCCCTCTCCAGCGGCGCATCGCTGTTAACCCTTCCTCGCTATTCAACTGGCTCTTTGCCTTTACATTTGGTTTTCTGGATTAGTCTTAAGACGAGAATGAAACCACGTGTGTGTGTGTCTACATCACTTCCCCCACCAACACTCCTCCTTCCCTCTTTCTCTCTTCTTTCAACCCCTCCCCATCTCTCCTTGTCATTAGAAGATCAAACGGTTAGAAATGAGGCCATTCAGCTCCTCTAGCCTGTTTGTTAGTAGTTAGGTGGTCTGGGGATCCCCTTCAGCTGTGTGTGGACTAAGACATTAGGATGTCACCGTCGCCCACATGGCTAGGTACCTTGTTCCATTCTCCCACAACTCTTTGTGTAAAGAGTTCTGAGCCTTAAAAGCACTTCCACTTTGTTTCCGCTTTTGTCCACTAGCTGGTGTTTTACTGTTCATTTTAAAGATGTCCACTGGTATTCTCTCTCTTCCTGTTCTTGTATTCTTGCCCTTTTCTCCTCAATGACATGGGAAGTATCACTGGTCACAATGTGCTGCTTTTCTGTGTCAAGTATGTGGGTCTGTGTTGCTCCGGCCCTGCTGCCCTCTCTGAAGGTCACGGTCATGTTGCTCTACAGACTGAAGGAGCGCTCACTGCCCAGCAGCCTTCACAGCTGTCTCTCTGCTCATTTTCATTCTGTCTCAGCTTATCGTTTTCCCACTGTTACCTAGTGCAAACTAATTTCTTCACCCAGGACGGCTGGAAACCTGTCCAGCCCTGAAATGACGTGAGAGCTACTTTGTGGAGCGGCAGCGATTATACTGTCTGCACATCCACAGCCGATTCACTTACCAGACATTCCCAACAAGCTGCCACATTCCATCTTCTACAAGCTTATTTGATCCTTTTTTTATTCTTCTTTTAAAGTTTTACAAATTCCCCTGCTCAATTTTACCTTTCGGAATTCTGGTTTTAACTTCTGCATCTAAAGAAGGTTTGACTTCTAAAGGCTACAGTATAAAGGTAACTTAAAACACCCCATGGATAAGCACCTGTAACCTGGAGTTTAAGCCAGTTAAGTAAATAGATTATTCAGTTAAGTCGTTAAGAGCTTAGGTGGCGTGAAAACCAGACGGGGAATGGTTTCGTTACCGGAGCAGGCGTGGCTGTCTTTGGCTGAATCAGGGCTGCTCTGCCCGCATCCGCTCCAGTCTGCTCCAGTCCACGGTTTTGGTACAGCCAGTCCCTTCATTACTGAATGGATCGTCATCAGGAATCGGTTTAACAATGAAGGTGCTGGTTGTGCCCAAGGGCCGTGCAGGAGCCGCCAGGAAGGGCTGCGGGGAGCGAGGGGGAGCTGTGCCCTGAGCCCGGCCTGTCCTGTGTGTGTTGCAGAGGCCAGCAAGCTGGTGATGTCCTATGTAGCGGCTGTGTGTGGGAAAGGCCAGGAGGTGAACAAGGTGAAGGAGCAGCTGCTGCAGTCGAACCCGGTGCTGGAGGGTGAGTACAGGACAGCTCCGGTCCAGCAGGGGCCAGCAGGGCGCTCCCAAGCACTGTGCTGCATGAGTTCTCTGCCTCCTCTGGAGGATCGGAGAGAGTTTTTCTGCTCCTGATTTTCCAGTTTCGCCACTACCTTTCTTACCTTTGCCTTTATTTTTTCAAAGTTATTTATTCCACCTTCGCAAGCTTTTAACCTTTATCCCTGTTCGCTAGTCTACACATTTAAGCAAAAACACACAGAAACCTGTATAAAGGTTGTTCCCAGTCCTTTTGGTTGGTAGATGTTTTACCTGATGATTTCTGAATGCTCTCCTATTGCAGACCTTTCCATTGCACCTTACTTAGTCCTGTTTCATTACTATTAAATAGTACACGGGTTCCCAGTTCTAGTCTCCAGGATCCTCATACCCACTGGATCCCATTCCAGCCCACCCCAGCTCATTACTGACCTAAATCTCTGCATCATCTGATGCCACATGGCCACTCCAATCATAAGGGATCCCTTATGTAAGTGTTTATCGGTTCAAAAGCTAAACACGCCTTTAGTTACTTATAAAGCTCAATACATGTTACAAGACAACCTCTAGCATGTTTAGAAACTAGAAACGGAGTTCAGATCAATCCAGTTCTTAGTTTCGGTAAAAGTTGAATTGCATAACTGAGAGCTCAGCTGAAACAAAAAACCTGCGGTTTTGGGTGACCCCAGAACCAATGCCGGGAAGCCCTGTTCTGTACCATATTCAGTGTTGAGCTGTGTTACTCTTTCGTACTGCAAGATCTCTGGCAAATGAAACTGTTTAATTCCTTTCACCCCCTCTGCTGCATCTGGACATCTGGATTACACGTCTGTGTTGAAAGAACATGACCATCTGTGGTCTTGTAAAACCTTTTCACACTGAGCAAACACCTGGAGCCCCGTGCCACTTACAAACAGCCACTGCCTTCGCTTCTAGCGATTCAGTTCCTAGCTTCTGAACGAGCTGCTCGAGTGTGATGCCGTGAGGGGCACCTGTAGAAAGCATCTTAGTTCATGTCCCCTTTTTGCTTTACCTTTTCCCAAGGAAGTGAGTGCGATCAACATGCACGCGTTTACATGTGCGGAGGTGGTCCGAATGCATCAGTGGCCTGCAGGGTTTAATTGTACTTCCACGCTGCAAAGGTTGAGTGAAAGAGCGAAACAATGTGCTTTTCCCACATTGCCTGGAATAAAAGTTGCCATGTGAAGTTGAGGTTCCTCTCACCCACAATAAACGGACTCCACCAGAAAGCTGGCAGTGTCATCCTAGAGCACATCTCCAAGATTTGGAGGAACCACTCTGATACAGTGACAACAACGGCTGCTAACACAATTGCGCATCGTAGAAGACCCATAAACCAAGTCGTAGTCATCAGGAAACTGCTGGTGTCCAACATGGGATCCCTTATGATTGGAGTGGCCATGTGGCATCAGCGTCATCTCCAGACATGAGGCGTCCTGCGGATCTGTCATCTTGGAACTGGAATCAGTCATTTTCTGGCTCGCCGTATCACCAGCTTTTAACACAGCTGAGCACCAGTGGAAGTAGATTGAAGTAGATACAGTACATCAGAGTGGACCACAGCCTAGGGTATAAATTGTTGGTAAATGATACAACGACGTCGCAGCCCAACCTTGAGGCGCAAACCCTCCGTCAGTGTTTATCCTGAGTCGTGAGCAGGCGTGCCATGAGTGTTTTCCTGCAGCATCACGCTGTAACACTGCGGCAGCATGTAACATGAGACACCCCCAATTCCCGCTCCGTCACATCTGTAACAGTTTAGCTTCTGTGAGTAATGACCCATGAGGTAGAGACACTCCGCGAAGGCCTGCAGACTTCCTGCAGTGAGCTGGGAACATTGCAGCGCTATCCCCAGAGCTCTCGTTAACTGCGTGCTTGGGCTTTCATCGCGAGTTCTCATCTACCCATGACGGGCTGAAGCACACGTTGAACGTTGCTGCTGAGGAGCTTCTCCACGCCCCCCAAACTGCCCAGGGTAGCCCTCCACGAGTGAGCCACTCCAGAGAG